GGCATGCTACCCCGCTCTTGTCGATACCCGCGTAGCTGCTGCCCAGTCGCACCGCCAATTTCACCAATTGGCTTTGTCGTTGCATCGTCTATTTAAAATTCCGCTAGCTGACGCACGGTCTATAATAGCCGCATGTCCAGCCTGTAGTCACCCTGCTCCTCTGCCGTCTGGGGTAAATCGGAGAGGACTGCGCCCCAACGAGCTGTGGCAGATGGATGTTACAGAATATGCGCCTTTCGGACTTTTCCGGTTTCTCCACGTCGCGGTGGATACCTGTAGTGGTATGATGTGGGCTACTGCTCTCACAGCACAGAAAGCTCGAGAGTGCATTCGTGCCCTGCGCATTGCAGTTGCGGTCATGGGCATCCCGCACACTCTAAAAACAGATAATGGTCCAGGCTACACTAGTCGGCTCTTTGGCCAATGGTGTTGCACCTGGGGCATCACTCATACCTTGGGTATTCTGCATCATTCTACTGGGCAAGCCATTATTGAGCGTACTCATCTGGCTTTGAAAGCTCGCCTCGATGCCCTTAAAGAGGGGGGAATGGAGGCGACTGGCTATGGAGATTCCTGTCCGCACGCTTTGTTATTAAAGGCCCTTTTTAGTTTAAATCATTTGGAAGGTCGATCCGCAGACCATGCTATGACAGAACGCGTACCTTTAGGGGTTGTTCAGGTACGCCTGGGCGGTGGGCCATGGAATCGGGATCCGGTACCCCTGTTAGTTATGGGTCGGGGTTACGCCTGTGTACAACTACCATCGGGGGTTCGATGGGTTCCAGCCCGATGGGTACGTCCATTCCCTGGACTCAAAGGAACAGCCGTTCCCTGAGCAGGTGGACTCAAAGGAACAGGAAATGAGTAAGTAACTTTCTTCCCTTTACAGCGACTCCTGCTTGTCCTCGCCTTATGCCCTGCAGTGTATGGGGGCTACTGGCAGGAGTATGCTGTGGGCTACCGGACCGCTCCGCTGTTCCCAACGCCATACGCTTACAACCTACGGTCTGCTGAGCCAGTACTCAACGGGACACTTCGTGGGTTGTTCCCACCTGTTACTTGCCAGGGAAGGAAGCTGACTACAATCCGTATCAATGCCACCGTGCAGGCAGGTATCAATCTGACACATGAAACACTCTTGTCATTGGACAGCACCACACATGCGACGGAGGACGGAAAAGAAACCGTTCTGCCGACGGCACAATTGTGCGGCTCCATTGACATTTGGGACAATGGGACAATAGCGGATGTGACCGTTCTGCCGTGGACAGTTAAGACCACGGTGCGCAATCAGTCGGTGGCCTGGTTGTGGGTGGGGCCACCGGGCCAAGATCCTGCACCGGTGGACTTTTTCCCTGGGGATGCTTGGACTGTAAATAGCCGTGCAACGGCCCTTTATCAATCGGTCCGAGTCGTGCATGTTTCAAACTCTGCTCATTGGCGTTTACCTAACCCCTATTGGTTGCTCTGTTCTCAGGAACGTGCTTGGAAGGTGATTCCAGCTAACACGACACTTGGTTTGTGCTCTATGGGTCTGCTATTGTGGCCACATCGCACTGCTCGCAGCCCATGAGCAACCCGAGGAATCTATAAAATTCCGGTGTTGTTAAAAATGAGAGATATAAAAGGTCAGTTCAGTGCACACAGCAAGCAAGGAGCAATCAAGAGGAAAATTTAATGATAGGGTTAATTAGAGATTTCACAAAAATGCAGAATGTGAGTCAAGTGACCGCTTGTTTACCTATACCTAAATCCGCAGGTGATCCTATACCCTGGGGTATAATCACATCACCGATACCCCAGATTGAGAAAAACAAAACAATCCAATGTGAATCGGAAACGGTCATAGAGACAGAAATGCTGGAAGGGTTTTATAGAGAGTGTCAGATTCACCTTTATTCTGGGCGTCAAAAGGAAAGAAATTACATATTTACGGACCTAGACAACGAGGATGGACAACTAGGGATGTGTGAGTATGATGCACCACGCACACGACAAAAGGAAAAGGTTATATGGAAGTGTAAAGAAGGTAATGAGATAGGAGGATTAGAGGGTTGGGAGTCAGCATGGGCATAAATATACTGCAGAAATACCAATATGGGGGGAATACTCCTTGGTGTTTGCAGTGGGTAGGAAGGACGAATAATGACCAGAGTTTACTATATGAGACGGCTCAGAGGGAAACTAGTAGTCGGGAGAGGGTAAAGGCAGTCCCGTGGTGGAATTGTACACAAATATTCAATTGTGACACTGCTTTAGAAACAATATCTCTGCTCCCAGTAAAGATAGCCTTAGCCACCGGATGTGCATGCAGAGGTCTACAAGTTAACATGAGTATCACCAATCGGAATATAGCCAGCCAGACTGGCAGGGAAAAGACCTTAGTGAATTGTAAATCTTCGACTATACGAAGCATGGGACATTTTGTGTGGGCCGCCAGTGATGGAAATTGGATGACCCATTTAAGTTTGGATGGCCCAGTAAAAGAAATAACTGTAGGATTGCCCACCCTTTGCCCGCTTTGGAAAAAATCTCCTCTCATAGAGAGAAGGACAAAAAGAGAAGTAAGTGAAGAAGACGATGAGTGGCAGGAACCGTCCACTGGGATAAAAATAGGATGGGTGGTAGAATCGTTGTTTGCCCCGATAGCCTCCTACCACAATAGGGAGCTGATATACAATTTGATGGGGCAAGTACATAGACTGGCCAACATGACCAAAAGGGGTTTAAGGAATTAAATATACAGTTACAAGCCACAACAAGAATGACCCTGCAGAATAGATTGGCCCTGGATATGCTTCTGTTAAAGGAACAGGGCGTCTGTGGATACCTGAAAGATAAGGTTGACCATTGTTGTATACACATTCCGAATGTAACTGCCGATGTAGAACGTGGCATATCCCAAATAGCCCAGGTAGAAGAAAAAATAAGAGAAGAGCAGCGTGACGCAGAACAGAATTGGCTGAGGGCAACTCTCGAGGGGTTAGGCTTTCAGCTAGAAGGATGGCTTAAATCGCTCTTACAAACAATATTGCTACTGGTAATAGTATTCATTGGGATAGGGCTAGTATATGCATGTATTAAAGCAAAAATAGCTAGAAGCAGTATAATGAATCGCAGCATGCTGACCATTCTCACCAAAAATCATGAAGGGTTCCCATTGTCACCGCTTGCTCCTGGGACGGATACTCGTCCCTAAGTAATTATGATTAAATCACGTTTAGTGTAACGGGTTAAAGAGGCTACGTTACTGCATAAAGAGGGGGGAGGTGTGGGATTATTCTGGGTTGTGCCTGCGTGCACGAAAGGAGGGGTCTGGGGTGCCTGCGAGCACAGTGGGAGGCGTCCTGGGTTCCTGGGTGGGACGCTTTGACACTAAATAAGATAATGTCACACAGTAATAAATTGGCTTATGGCACAGAACGCTGGTCGTTGTGTCCGTTTGTCCCGGGGCTTTCGGTCGGGATATCCTACATCTGGAGGGATCCATACTGCATATATGTAAGCGTATATTCTCCGCTAACAAGCTTTCACCCCGAGCAGCAAGAGAGGGCAGTAGGGTGAGGCTGCTGGTGTTGATTGTGCAAGTGCTTTTCAGCAGTGCTCATCTGTCTGCATGCTATGCATACTTGTACCTGTATACGTACACGCTGTGTGAATGTGTGCAGCTGTGCCTGTTTGGTGTACACACTCAGCCTTGCTACAGCCTGGACCTAAGGACATGGCAATGCAGCTGCCTTGCGTCTGCTGGGCTATGGCATTCGGCAGCTTCTGCCACCACCCACACAACGACTCCCATGGATGCGTTTAGGAAGCCAACTCTCCTGGTCAGCCACCTTTTCTCCAGTACAAATTCTCCCCTGCACTGGGACACAGAGGGACGGCTCACATTATAGGTAGGACAGAAGAACACAGCCAGGAGATGCACATCGGCGCTGCACGGGGAACTGGCACGGTTTGTTTGGGAGCACCGAGGCAGGTGATGCTTCCCGAGGCAAACAGAGGTGGGGGCATAGGGACCAGGAAACAGAAAGGGGTGGAGAAGGATGGGAGCCACAGGGGCACACGGTCTGCAGCAAGACTCGGGTGGAAGTGAAGGCAATATGCATTGAACTTCTGGAGGGGCCCTCACGGGCAGCAACCGCTCTGCCTCTCCCTGCCTCTTCTCCAGCATCGTCCAGCCTGGGCAGGTGTGCCCTGACAGGGCCCACTGAGGTGCCAGCCTCCCAGGACGCCCGCTGCATCTGTTGAATCCAGGATTAGCTCTGAGGTGGGAGGGGTGACCAAAGGACCTACTAATTTTGCTGCTGGGGCCATGTCCTCATACCTGGTCAACCATGTGCAGGCTAGACTCCTGGCACACACTCCTGTTTCTCTCTCAGGTAAGACCTTCAGCATGGCAACATATGAAAACCCCACAGCTGGTTTCCTGTGCCCGGTCCCTCCCAGAGCCCTGGCTGTGTGCGACAGGACCGTTACACACAGGTTATCTCTGAAGCGTTAAGACTCACTGGGTGTATGCAACTTCTACTGCAGTCATCTCTGGCTCTTTGCTGGCACAGCAACAGGCTTGGTATGAAGCACGTGCATGTGCAAAATACCTCAGCTTAGAGAGGGAAAGGGAAAGAGAGAGAGGGGGAGTGAGCCCAGAGCCTTTTTTATCGGTGTAATATTGTATTTTCTGCTTTACAGGAAATCAGTATTTGTTCAGCAAAGCCAATGCTGAACAGGACTCTCTATGACCCAGCAAGGAGCGGACACCTCTTCTCAAGGAACAAAAGGGAACAGCAGCTCTGAGCATCCTTCTTGCATTCCTGCATCTTCTTCCTTCAGGAGAGCTCCAGCTCTTTTCAGCCAGCAGCTGCCAGACCCACACAGAGAGAAGAGGATGACTGACAGAAGAGCCCAGGAACTGCTTTGATGACCCTGAACCCTCCTGTGTCAGTCCCATGGAGGCAATGGCATTGAAAGAAAGGCATTGGCCCATTTCCCGTACAGACATGACCTTCACCTGCCATGCTTGCCTGGAGATTCCACTGCCAAATCTGTCCTCACCGACCATGGGAAGGGATGGTCAGCCTGAGAAAGCACAGGCAGAGTTCTTTAGCATTTATTGTTTGCACTTCAGGGGTCATAGTACTTTGAGAAATACACATGTACAGGGGATGCTGGATGCAGAGCAACATCACTCCCAGTCTCACCATCCCACCCAGCAGAGGGAAGATAAAGGCTCCAAGGCTCTCCTACCCCTCCCAACACAGCCCTCTGCTGTTCCAAGTTTGCTGCTAATCTCAGGATGAGGATTCCTCCATCATAGAGTTTCTGCTGCATTTTCACAAATCCGATAAGAACGGATTGTGCACGGGACATCATTCCAGTTCTGGAGATTTTCTGACTGGTGATGGATTACAACACACTTCTCTTCAGGACTATTAGTTGGCTCCCCACGCCTCCAGAACCTGAGAGAGAGACAGACATGTTACTCCCTGTGCACCCTGCAATCACACTGATGGAAGAGGCCACGCCTGGAATACAAGGCTTGGAGGGGAGACAGTCCAGATGCAGTTTGATGGACAGAAGTCGTACCCTTCCTCGCACTCTGCTAATCCCACTGGCAGCAGTCTTACATGCAAACCTGACTTCTTCCTAGAACCAACACAGCAGGGAGCTGTTCAGTCCTGGTGGGCAGAGCTGCTCACCCCAGCTCACCCCAGGCACTTCACAGCCAGCACGGGACGCATCTCTTCCAGAAGAAACATCTGCAAGCAAAGCCCTGGTGATCTCTCCAGCACCCCATTGCTTCTGCAGCATGACAGCACTGGCCCAGCGTGTGCCTACACCTGCACACCTACAGGAACATAGACCATGTGCCTACACCTGCACATGTGTGTGTTGGGCAGTACGGAGGTCAGGCAAGGCTTGTCCTGTATGAATTCATGTATTACTCCTCAGGAAATGCAGCTTCTTCTCTGCCTACAGCACCGATGGCCATGTCACAGATAATTTATCGCTAACCACTAACCAGCATGGATGGATCGGTGGGAACCTGGTATCCTACAAAGCCCTTGCCGGCTCCATCATTGTCCTCTCACAGACAGCCATGGCATATCCCTCCCATGCTCATCAGACACCCTCACATCTCTTCCACCCTCTTGCTCTACCCGGAGCCACACCAAACACTCTCCGTCATGGGATACTCACGCTGCTGTTACATTATAGGGAGTCTGGTCTGCCCAGCGCCACTGGCCCACCTCCTGTGCCCGCAGACCAATGTAGAAATCGTTTCCCTTTTGTTGGTATTTCATCTGTCTTCTTATTTCCTTATAGAGGAAATCCTGGAAATGAGGGAGAGTACAACGTCCATGAGGTTCAGGACTGAACAGAGGGAGGTGGCAGGAGTCCCAGTGGGGTGGAGCTGGTGGCAGACTGGAGCCAGTGCTGAGTACATGCAGCAAGGACATCCCCCCTCCACTGCAGGAGCCAGGAGGGGCTCTGAGGCCCCTCCAGGCCTGGCACTCCTGTCTCCAGGCTGCTCTGCCCCTCTCCCAGCCCTGCACTTACCTGCTCTGCTTCTGTATTGATCACCACCAGCTGGGAGCCCATCCCACTGCAGTTCTGCTGGCTCTCATTCCAGGGCATCCAATCATCTGAGAAGTAATAGCAGCTTTCCTGAAAGGGTCTCCAGCCCTCTGGACAGCACTTCCAGTCTCGTTCTGTGCAGAGAGAGACCACGAAGCATGAATGCTAATAAAGAGAGAGATGGTCACTGCAAAGACCCCCTTGTTCTCCAGGGACAATGCTCATATTCTAACTTAGATCCTTCCTTCCTTCCTTCCTTCCTTCCTTGTTTCCTTCCTTCCTTCCTTCCTTCCTTCCTTCCTTCCTTCCTTCCTTCCTTCCTTCCTTCCTTCCTTCCTTCCTTCTTTCCTTCCTTCCTTCCTTCCTTCCTTCCTTCCTTCCTTCCTTCCTTCCTTCCTTCCTTCCTTCCTTCCTTCCTTCCTTCCTTCCTTCTATAAATTTTTGGAAGAAAAAGAAACAAGGATAATGCAGGTATTTCTTCAAATTGTTTTGAGGTATGATCAGAAGAGAGCTCTGTGTACACAAGTCCATGGTAATCTTTGTACCGTGCTCTCAGGTCTTGCCTTGACAAAGACAAAGCCATTCTGGTGATCTGTTTTGACTCCTCCTTGTACAGTCTCCCATAGGATTGTAGGTGCAGCAGCAGGGAATATTACTTGTTTTTCTGAAGAGAGTTGCACTTTTATTATTGCTCCATTATTAATCTTCCCTCCACCACTTTATGATACTATGCATTTTGTTATTATCGGTGTGTTCACACCCACCCTGCCCTCCCAGGACACTCTTAACATGGACCTATCCTCCCCCTAAGCTGCTAGCAGGAAATCCTTTTTCTCTCTCTCCCACATCTCTCCTCTGGAGCCTGCTCCTGTTGCTGCTTGCTGTGAGAGCAGACCCCAGCAATCACCATCCTCATAACGAAGACCTCTTGCATCCTTGCCAGCACGACTGACCTTTGCTTTGAGGCACCGCCAAGATGCAGTGCCACTCTGTGTGGTTCCCCTACAGGGCTGCGGGCTTGTCACAGCTCTGGGAGACATGAGTGACTGGAAACGGAGAGAACAGAAGGCAGGGTTACCACTTTCTCCGTGCTTCTCCCACACCGTTTTGTGCTTCACTTTTTTATGCATTTCCCCACCAAGCACTGACTCAGCATCACTGCTCCTCTGGCTCTCCCTTTCAGGTTCTCAAGAGGTAACTGACATTCTGTCAGGGAAGAGGAACAAGCATTTCTGCTCCCAGCCACCCACAGCTGCCTGCAAGGGTCCTCCACTCAGTGACTGACAAGGTCTATCCAGGATGACCTAGTCAACAAAGCTAGGGAAGCCCGGGACCCACCTGAGCAGTCCCAGGTGGCTGTGGCAAGCCAGTGGTTTGTTACTGGAGTCTGTCCCAGCACTGAGCAGATGCCCTCAGGCTTCCTTGGATGCCATGGAGCTGAAGGTGTGGGGTTAGTTGCTCCATGGCTCTTAGAAAACTAGGCCCAAAGCAGTATGGCTGCCTTCACAGCAAGTGACAACCTTCCACGTCAGAGAGCAGAGGGACCCCTGGGAGGGGATAACACAGAGAACATGACACAGGGTGGGGCTGATTCCACCTGACCACAGGTATTGACCATGGAGATACCCATCTAAATCCCTTTACAATCAGTGGATTAAAAGAAGCACTTCAGCAACACAGTTTCTCTCTTCCTAAGCTAGCCATAGACATCAGCAATAGTTTGGATGAGAAACACATTAGATGGGCCTGTTTTAGCAGCAGCAAAGACAGTCCAGGTGAAGGTAACAGCATACGCCTCTCTCTACTGAAACCAGGGTGGAATACTTGGGAATTGCTATTTGGCTCATACAGTGGTGGTGGCTGGTGTCAGCAGGCCATGTTCACAGCCCAAAGGACTGTGGAGTGGTCACCAACTCAGACACTCAGGGATATTGATAATATAGATAACATTGACAATAGAGATGTCTATTTTCATCAGCTGTGTCATTTAGAAATAGCAGTACTAATGAGGAGGGAAGAGTAATCACAGTGACCCCTGTGAGTGATCAGTGATCTCCTATAATGGACGAAGGCTCAGAAGAGCTGGGCAGGGGCAATTACAAAGCTCGGGGAAGAATGTATGCAGTGACTGACCACAGCTGTTGCAATGAAAGGGGACCTTATCTCAGCACAAATGGGACCAAGGAGTGGGCTTTGCCCTAGTTAGCTGAGTGAATCAACCAGTTATATCAGCTGAGTGAATTGACCAGCTGTGTAACTGTACATCCCTCAGAAGATCAAAACGATGGCAATAATCTCCTAAGTTAGCCAGACTGGCATGGGATGAAGGTATGTATGCTTTCAGCCCAAAACAGCATAGGAAACTGAACAACAAAAACAACTCGGAGGAGAGCAATGAGCCTGAGCTGGCTTTAACCCACATATTCCTTTTTGGTTGCTGGGGATACTCAGCGTTGCAGTGGCGGACAGATTGCAGAGATTGGTAAGCCCATCCCAGCTGGGAGCCCATCCCACTGCAGTTCTGCTGGCTCTTATCCCAGGGCATCCAATCATCTGAGAAGTAATAGCAGCTTTCTTTAAAGGGTCTCGAGCCCACTGGACAGCACTTCCAGCTGTCCTCTGTAGGGGAAGAAAGACCTGTGTTGGACAAGATGTGCTGTGCCTCTTCTCAGTGAGCTCAGCACAGAACCCCAAGTATCAGAGAAGGGGTTTGAACTGTACATTTCTTTTGGACAGCGGTAAATGCTCTCTTTTGTGCTCCACAAACAGCACCATTGACACCCTGACAGATTGCTGTCACCGGGCCTCTGCTTGAAGAGCTTTTTCCTTTGTTCTATCTGCCCATTCAAGCTCTGCTTGGGAGAGGCACTTTCTGCCTCACCGTTCCTGAGGAAGTGAGATGGGAAGGAGCTGAGCACTCCTCTGGGGACATAGACATCAGAAAAGCATTGTCCAAGTGATTAGCTCTCATCTCATACACAGGAACAAACATACACAGTAAACTAGCCTGGCAGCCTCACTGCCAACACTGGTAGTTTCTTACACAAGCCGTGCATGTTTTCCTAGAAATTTGCCATGCACGCAGAAAGTCACATGATGGATTGAAAAGCATGGGCACATTCTCTAAAGGACGAGGTTATCTTTTTTCAGGTTATATACCTCTATCTGTAAGCTGTTTCTATCACACACAGAATATAGCTCAATATGGAACATGTCCAACAAACAAGTCCTTCTAGTCTAGTCAACCAACAAAGACACTCTGGTACACTGAGCAGAGCTGAATCTCAGACCTCACAGGGACTTTCTTCTTGGGTTCCCCACACAGGAGCTCTGCAGGGGCCCTATGTGCTAATCTATGCAATCAAGGTGTGACTGCCAAATGCTGTAACCAGCTGCTGCTGATATGGGGCCAGAAAAATGAAAGGAACAGGGAAGGGAGGAGAGGTCCAGGAGGCTGTGGTCCAAAGCAAGACCCCAGAGGAACCAAAACCAGAAGCAAAGAATTCTTGTGCTGCAAGAACCACATGAAAAGCAACGAACCTGCCTGCCTGCAATGCTTCTGCCTGTGGCTTAGTTCTTCCAGTACCTACAGGTATATATTTGACCATGTCCCTTGCACTCACATATTCTCACCCAGCAGAGTAAAGATGCAGGCTTCAGGGCTCACACTCTTCAAAAGGTCCCAGCTTCCATGCATGAGGCTGTGGAGTCCCTTTCTCTGGAGATATTCAATGCCCATCTGGATGCCTACCTGGGCAACCTGTTCTAGGGAACCTGCTTTGGCAGGGGGGTTGGACCCAATGCTCTCTTCACGTCCCTCCCAACCCCTACAATTCTGTGATTCTGTGAAATGAAAAGCTGCTCATTTCACACAGTTTAAATCTAATCAGGGTCAAAGCAGTTGTCTCAGATTCCCTTCTTGGCACCAAATCGAGAGAGTGAAAAGTCCAGGGAGTGGAAGAAGTAGAAAAAAAAATGTTAATTTTCCTGTGTTCTTCTGTATTAGATCAATGTTTACCATTACATTTGTAGAAACAGAAACCATGGCACTGGAGAGCACAGATCTGAGCCATCCCTTACAAAAACATGAAGTGCTTTTGGCTAGATTTGTGAACTGGACTGGAGCTGAGGGGCTGTATGTGGGCAGAGAATGGGACGAGTGATCACAAGGTAGAACTGGAGCAAGCCACCCTCTTCCACTGGCCCAGGACGTGTTTTCAGAGCATCCTACGTCGGACTTGAAAACACAGCATTTCCTTTCCTCATCTCTCCATCTTCCTTCCCTAGGGCAATCCAGCTCTGGCTGACAATCCTGTTCCCAAACTCAAAGGCTGACTTACACCAGAATAAATGTGGGGGACGTGCTCAGTGTCACTCCCAAGGCTCTTAGCAGCACTCACTTTGGCTTGGAGGTCCATTGGGGATGCAGTGCCACCCTGGAGCATTCTGGGGCAGAGTCTTGTACTGGCCACAGCTCCTGTGAAAGAGAACAACTGGGAAGAGGGGAAAGAGAAGGAAGGCGCTACTGTCATCCTTTCATCCTCATTCATGGGCAAGCTGTCCTGCCCTCCACCTTCTGGCTGAGAGCTCCCTCGGAGACTCGGTTACACCAACAAGCTCTGAAAATTGTATCCTGAAGGAAAAGAGCAGACAGCTTTCCCCACTACGGGTCACTCCCTCCCTTGGGCAAACACTGATCAGATGAGCCCCCCTCACCTCAGCTGCCTGAGACTCATTTTCGCAGCCGACAAAGCCCAGCTAAGACATCCTTAGAGGATGGGGTCAGGAAAAGGTCAAAGAAGTTGTGAGATCATCCTCGTAAAGGTGGAATATCAATCTGCATTCCCTCTTAATCTGCCTGTGATCTGCAGCTTTAGAGCACCCTTTGCACGCATACCAAGAAGGGGAAGAACTGCTGAGTGCTGAGGCCTCACCCAAGGGAGTTGAACGCCACAGGAGAGTTATCGCAGAGCAGTAACGATACTCCAGGACACTACACGCAACATATTTCCCTTCTGTTTGTTCCAGGCGGTGTGGGTGGGATGCAGCTGGAGCATTTTGGAGGATTTACGCCTCACTCTGCTCAACCGTGGGCAGCCCTGGTAGCAGGATGTCCAGGGAGATCATGCTGGCTCCTCGGCTGCAACAGGGTCACGAGGAGCTCTGAGGGACACCACAAATGCGGCCAGGAGAACTGAGAGCCAACAGCCAGCCCTCGGGGAACCTGCTCAGACGTCGTCTGGCACTAAGGAGACTTCTCGGCCGTGTTGCAGTGGGAGGGCAGGAACTGATGGGTTTCACCCAGGACTGGCTTTATCTGCACAGGTGGGCAAGTGAGAGGAGCTGTGGGAAGGCCCTGCCAGGACACTACCTGCTAACTGTGCAAGGGACGCGGCTCCCCAGCTAAGAGGCAGCGTGGGAAAGGGGCAGCAGAACAGGCTGTTTGGGTGCAGGGCAGTCGCCTGCTGGCAAAGAGGCTGGGGTTTTCTTTTTCCACCTGACACCAGGCAACTTCAGGCCCCGTTCCCTTCCTCCCCGAAGAAGTAAAGGGACCCTGGCACCCACCGAGGCCGACGGTCATAAGGGCAGTTTTGACGGCAAGGGCAGAAACGAGGAAGACCCAGGGGCTCAGGCGGGAACAGCTGCTCCCTTCTGCTGGGGCTGAAAAACACAAGGCAAGAGTGGAAATCCCCGGCCCAGAGTCGGGGGGCAGGATAATCCAAGGGGCTGCGTGCCCTGACAGCCTGCTGATAACCCTGTCCCAAGGCCTGGCAGGTCCCACAGGCGCTGTAACCAGCTCGTGCTGTCTGTCACTGGCAGTGGGTCACACCTGCAGCGTAGGGCAACACGGGGACTGCCCTCTTGCTTCATGTCAAAAGCCATGACTGCGCTCTTCCCAAGCTGCACTACTTTTCTTCTCCCGTCACACCTCTTTTCTCCCCTGCACACCGTCCTGGTTGCCCTCCCTTACCCCGTCTTTCACTGAATGCTCTTTCTCTACCTCCCTCCTCCTCAGCTTTCTTTGGAGCTTCTTTCTCTCAGCGACCCAACTCTTAGCTGGGCTCTGTCCCCCAGCCTCTTTTGCGCAACAGCGAGTGGTCACTTACTCAAAGGACTGACAGTCCAGCTCGGTGTCTGGCAGCAGACACGCAGAAGAGATGGTTTCTACCCTGAGAATGGGCACTGGGTCTTTCTCCTGGTACACAGCCAGCCATGGTACCATGCCCTTCATATTTCCCAGCCCCGTATTTTCCCCCACCTTCTCCTTCTCCTAGAGGAGGACAGAAAGGAAGGCTTTATGGTTACCTGCAGTCCCAGGACTGACCCTCTCTTGCTGGTTCATTATCGCTGCCAACACCATCGCTCTTCTCCACCAAGAGTCCGTCCACGTTACCAGTATGGCCACAAGCACAGCCCTCCTGCAGGAGGAGGAGCTAGAGCAGCTCCCACAGTGCTGGGCAGTCTGCACGGACTCAAATCTGATGTGCAGACAGAGCCATAGCTGGGGTATTTCTCACAGCACATGGAGAGAGGCGAATTTTCACCATTCCTCTGTCAGGACGTTTCACAAGACGCTTGTTGCAAAAAAGAAACTCACAGAGGCAAAGGAGAACAGATGAAAACTAGAACCACTGCCACTCAGACCATCTTCTTCTGCACATTTTCAAGCAGCATTACAAGACATTAGTGGTGTTTTTATCCTCCCCTGGTGAGAGAGAACGAGTGTGAAAATGCCTGTGCTGTTGGTATTTGCTAGCAAAGCAAATTAAATAATAATAAACACACTCACTAGGGCACGTGACTTGCTGATATGGAGCCGGAGATCAGAAGGGATCACCAGATCATGTCAGTATCCCTGCCTGTGACAGATCGCGAAGCTTTACTCTGTCACCACTACGTGAGGCACACATGGTGCTTGTAGCACTGCTCGGGGTGACTTGATTGAAAACTCTGAAGGATGTAAGCATCCCTAAGGATATCCCGAAGGAAAAAGAAGCCCTGCTGGGCCTCTCTGCGCTCTGAACTGAGTGCTGTGGGCATGCAGACACTGCTCTTCCACACCCCATCAGTTAGCTTTGTCCCTGTGAAGAGGCAGGCAAGTATGCAGGTGCTGAGGAAGACATGGGATAGCTAAAAACATGAGCATCAAAGGCTCAGAAGGGCAGGGCACACAGCTGGTGGTAAATGAGGACAAACCTAAACCGTGTGTAGAAATGTGCACAAAAGGCTCAGACCATGCCAACAGAGCTGTTGCATTGGAAAGACGGTCCATAAATGTGCTTGCTGGTATTGTCCTAGAAGGAAGTAGCTACTAGAAGGTACTTGCTACTGGGTTCACAGCACAGTGAGAGATTCTAGAATGAAATTTTAGAACAAAGATTGGTAACAAAGATGAATTGTACCACTCATGCCCCAAAATGAGAATGTGTGTTGTGTGCTGTTTGTTCTTGCTCTGTAATATGCCTGACTCTGTGGTTGAGCTGAGGGTGGCTGATCAGGAAGGAAGATGCAGAGGGTAGGGAACTGTTACAGGGAAAATCTGCTCATATTGCACAGCTTAAATCTAATCGGTCTTGATGCAGTACATTAATGACACGTAGTTAACTGGCAACCCACGATCCATATATTCGGGATCATTATCAGGAATATTATCAGGAATAATATTATCAGGAATAGTATCAGGAATATTTGGTATGGGAGGCACGGTGGTAGAGGTCTACTACAGGTCTCCAGATCAGGAGGAGGAAGTCTATGAGGCCTTCTACGAGCAGCTGCTAGTAGCCTCACGATCACGAGCGCTGGTCCTCATGGGGGACTTCAATTACCCAGACATCTGCTGGGTAAGCAACTCGGCCAGGCACGAGCAGCCCAAACAGTTCCTACAATGCGTTGACGACAATTTTCTGACGCAGGTGGTGGAGGAGCCGACGAGGCAGGGGGTGTTCCTGGACCTCGTTCTTACCAACAGGGATGGGCTTGTTAGGGATGTGAAGGTTGGGGGCAGCTTGGGATGCAGCGACCATGAGATGGTGGAGTTCCAGGTGGGACTAGGCAAAGGAAGTAAGGCTAAAAGCAGGATTGCTACCCTGGACTTCTGAAGAGCCAACTTCAACCTCTTCCGGGACCTGCTTGGGAGTATCTCATGGGATAGGTTGCTAGAAAGCAAGGGCGCTTGTGAGAGCTGGGCTACATTTAAGCAGCACTTCTTCCATGCTCAGGGTCTGTGCATCCCAAGGAATAGGAAATTGGGGAAGGGGGGCAAGAAACCCGCATGGAGAAGCAAGGAGCTCATCCATAAGATCAAGAGGAAGAGGAGGGTCTATGAAATGTGGAAAAAGGGCCTGTCCTCTTGGGAGGAGTATAGATGTGTTGTCAGGGCCTGCAGGGACGCGACGAGGAAGGCTAAAGCCCACCTAGAGATGAGACTTGCGAAAGAGATGAAGTATAATAAGAAGGGTTTTTTCAAGTATGTAAACAGCAAGAGGAAGACTAGAGATAAGGTGGGTCCCTTCCTGAATGAGGGGGTTGTCCTGGTCACAGGGGACGCTGAGAAGGCAGAGATACTGAATGCTTTCTTTGCTTCAGTCTTTGCTTCAAGGACACTCCCCTGGGACTCTGTTGTTTGTCCTCTTCACGGTGAGGGTGACGGAGCATTGGAACAGGCTGCCTAGGGAGGTTGTGGAGTCTCCTTCCCTGGAGATATTCAAGGCCTGTCTGGACGCCTACCTGGGCAGCCTGCTCTGAGGAACCTCCTTTGGCAGGGGGGTTGGACCCGATGATCTTTCGAGTTCCCTTTCTACCCCTACAGTTCTCTGATTCTGTGATTCTGTGATATAATGGATCAATGACACATTAATAAACAGCTATGAGTTTCTGAACAGCTTCCTGCAACTACCCCCCCCAGAACTCCAGACCCCACATGTGATCATTCTCACACTTGCACAAGCTCATGACCCTGCCCTCACTCCTGCAGTGGGAAGTGCAGCTTACAAGAACACATCCTCTTTTCTGGGCGTGTGGGTTCCCCTGTTTACAGGGGCTTCCTGCTGCTGGTGCAGGTTCTGTGTGCGTCCACACTACTTCATGCAGTCTGCTGACCCACAGGCTGCTGAGGAAGCTCAAGGGCACATGCATCTGCTGAAGCTCTGGTTGTGTACTTGCTGTGCCCCTTACAGCCAGGAATGACAGCTAAATGCCTGCCCATGGCATCCAACTCTGCTTATAGATGCTCCAACCTGGCAGAGTTGCCAGGGTCTCTCGTGCCTGTCCCTGAACCACTGAAGACAGTGGTACTTGGTTTTACGAAGGTCATTGCTAGGAAACGCTAGTTAGAGGCCCCAGAGAATCTTGAGTCTACTTTCCCAGACCCTCACAGTACAGACAAGAGCCAACAAGAACAGCACGGATACAACAAGATCAGTGGGACGTGGACAGAAGAAAATACTGCAGCAACAGGGGTCTTGTGTGACCTTGCAATCTAGGGTCCAGCTACTGGATACTCAATGACTAAGCCTAGCTCCTGGAGGGATCCATACTGCATATATGTAAGCGTATATTCTCTGCTAACAAGCTTTCACCCTGAGCAGCAAGAGAGGGCAGTAGGGTGAGGCTGCTGGTGCTGTTTGTGCAAGTGCTTTTGAGCAGTGCTCATCTGTCTGCATGCTATGCATACTTGTACCAGTATATGTACACGCTGTGTGAATGTGTGCAGCTGTGCCTGTTCGGTGTACACACTCAGCCTCGCTACAGCCTGGCCCTAGGGACATGGCAATGCAGCCTTGCAATCTAGGGACATGGCATGACCTTGCAATCTAGGGTCCAGCTACTGGATACTCAATGATTAAGCCTAGCTCCTGGTGTGGGATTATTCTGGGTTGTGCCTGCGTGCACAAAAGGAGGGGTCTGGGGTGCATGCTAGCACAGTGGGAGGGGTCCTGGGTTCCTGGGTGGGACGCTTTGACACTAAATAAGATAATGTCACGCAGTAATAAATTGACTTATCGCATAGAACGCTGGTCATTGTGTCCATTTGTCCCGGGGCTTTCGGTCGGGATATCCTACATATGGTGACCCCGACGTGATACTGTCGTGGTTTAACCCGGCCGGCAGCTAAACACCACGCAGCCGTTCGCTCACCCTCCCCCCTCCCTCTCTGGGACGGGGGAGAGAAATGGAAAGTGAAGCCCGTGAGTTGAGATAAAGACAGTTTAATAAGACAGGAAAATAATAATAACAAAATAATAATAACAATAATAACAATAATAATAATATGGTGATAATAGGGAAATAATAATAATATGTACAAACAAGTGATGCACAATGCAATTGCTCACCACTCGCTGACCGATGCCCAGCCTAACCCCGAGCAGTCCGGCCCCCTTCCCCCGGCTAGCCACCCCTATATATTGTTTAGCATGACGTCAGATGGTATGGAATACCCCTTTGGCTAGTTTGGGTCACCTGTCCGGGGTCTGTCCCCTCCCAGCTCTTACTGCACCCCCAGCCTGCCCGTTGGCAGGACAGAGCAAAAGGCTGAGATGTCCTTGGCTTAGTATAAGCACTGCTCTGCAACAATTAAAGCATCGGGGTGTTATCAGCACTCTTCTCATCCTAAGCCAAAACACAGCATTCCACCAGCTACTAGGAAGAAAATTAATTCTGTGCTAACTGAAACCAGGACATCTATCCACCCCTTATTCCATACCATTTATGTCATGCTCAGGTTACACTCTTTTCCATACATTCTAATTAGTCACCTATAGTAATCATGGTAGTGATAACATACAGTGTAATATACTAATTAACATGGTACAATTCAGTTTATGGGCTATTCTCACCCAGTATTAAATCTCCTTGAGGTACACACCGGACCTCTCCGTTCTTTTGCATCACCCACCAAGTGTATCCAGGTCCCTGAGCGAAAACAATTCCACGAATAGGTTTGCCTTTTCTTGAGGCAGGAGTAGCCCAGACTGTTTTACCCAGCATATTTTTTACATGCACTACAGGAACCTTATCCCCATCTACAGTACGTAACAGGTTTGATTGGGCAGGTCCAGCTCGGTTGGTAGATCCCCTAGTATTGACTAACCAGGTGGCCTTTGCCAAATGCGTATCCCAGTTTTTGAACGTCCCAGCGCCCATTGCTTTCAAGGTAGTCTTTAACAGGCCATTGTATCGTTCAACTTTCCCGGAGGCTGGTGCATGATAGGGGATGTGATACACCCATTCAATACCATGTTCTTTGGCCCAAGTGTCTATAAGGTTGTTTCGGAAGTGAGTCCCATTGTCTGATTCTATTCTTTCTGGGGTGCCATGTCGCCATAGGACTTGCTTTTCAAGGCCCAGGATGGTGTTCCGGGCGGTGGCATGAGGCACAGGATATGTTTCCAGCCATCCAGTGGTTGCTTCCACCATTGTAAGTACGTGGCGCTTGCCATTGCGAGTTTGAGGGAGTGTGATGTAATCAATCTGCCAGGCCTCTCCATATTTATATTTCAGCCATCGTCCTCCATACCAAAGAGGCTTTGACCGTTTGGCTTGCTTGATTGCAGCACATGTTTCACAGTCATGAATAACCTGTGCTATAGCGTCCATGGTCAAGTCCACCCCTCGATCACGAGCCCATCTGTATGTTGCGTCTCTACCTTGATGGCCTGAGGTGTCATGGGCCCATCGGGCTATAAATAATTCACCTTTATGCTGCCAATCCAGGTCCACCTGAGCTACTTCAATCTTAGCAGCCTGATCCACCTGCTGGTTGTTTTGATGTTCTTCAGTAGCCCGATTCTTGGGCACATGAGCATCTACGTGGCGTACTTTCACAGCCAGGTTCTCTACCCGAGCAGCAATATCTTGCCACAATGCAGCAGCCCAGATGGGTTTGCCCCTGCGCTGCCAGTTGTTTTGCTTCCATTGCTGTAACCATCCCCACAGGGCATTTGCTACCATCCATGAATCGGTGTAGAGATAGAGAACTGGCCATTTTTCTCGTTCAGCAATGTCTAAAGCCAGCTGAATGGCTTTCACTTCTGCAAACTGACTCGATTCACCTTCTCCCTCAGCAGCTTCTGCAACTCGTCGCGTAGGACTCCATACAGCAGCCTTCCATCTCCGATGCTTCCCCACAATACGACAGGACCCATCAGTGAACAGGGCATATTTCTTTTCATTCTCTGGCAACTGGTTGTACAGTGGGGCTTCTTCAGCACGACCCACCTCCTCCTCTGATGATATCCCAAAGTATTTGCCTTCTGGCCAGTCCATGATCACTTCTAATATTCCTGGGCGACTGGGGTTTCCTATTCGAGCCCGCTGAGTAATCAGTGCAACCCACTTGCTCCATGTAGCATCAGTTGCATGATGCGTAGAGGGGACCCTTCCCTTGAACATCCAGCCTAGTACTGGCAATCGGGGTGCTAGGAGGAGTTGCGCTTCAGTACCGACCACCTCCGAAGCAGATCGAACTCCTTCATATGCTGCCAATATCTCCTTTTCAGTTGGAGTATAGCGGGCCTCAGATCCTCTGTAACCCCGACTCCAAAACCCCAGGGGCCGACCTCGAGTTTCCCCAGGTTCTTTCTGCCAGAGGCTCCAGGTGGGGCCGTTCTCCCCGGCTGCAGTGTAGAGCACATTCTTTACATCTGGTCCTGTTCGAACTGGCCC